AGCGTCGTATCATTTCCTGAACTACTGAACTGTAGGTGAACACACTGAAAATGACTTTGAGCTGTTGTGAAAACGGTAAAGGCTCTTTGAGCATTGCTGTGTAGTGCTTTCATAGTTGTTCTTCTTGCTCTGTAAATATTACTGGAGAAAACAATGAGGGGGAAAAAAACCCTGGCGAGGGAGAAGGTCTATTTTAATGAGGCTCTTCAGAATTACATTTGTAGCCCATTGTGGCTTGTATTTGCTTTACCGTAGTATAGCACTGTACCATGCTGAGATGAGTATTGTTTGGCAAGTGATTTCTTCTGTTAAAAATGCAAGGTATATAAAAGTCAGATGATCTCAAATCATTAACTATTGAACTCAGCATTTAAAAAACGGTATTAAATGTTATCAGTTTCCATGAAAGTGTGCTTTTCTGACAGGTTTTGTTTACCTTCTATTGAATTATAACTAGATTAGAGTATGAGAGAAGTAATCTGTTAGTATCCAACATTTTAGGCTCCTCGTGTACCAGTGCAGGCGCTGCCCATGGTCGTCCCACCCCAGGAGCCTGACAAACCCCCTGCTAATGTCGCCACAACCCTTCCCATCAGAAATAAAGGTCAGTCTTAGTTCTGGAGCTTATTTTCTACATATGCTTCCTAGGTAGACGATAAAGGGTTGCACTTGTAGCAGAGTAGTTCCTATGAAGAGTGTTTACGGATTCCGTCAAGGAAACTGCAATTCTCAAAAAAATTTTTTTTAAGGATTGCTTATCGGCCAAATACGAAGTATCAGTCATCTAACCCTGTAATTATTAAGCGTCAAGAAATCTGCCTAAGTAAATATGTTAAAATATATATTAGTCTGACATACTGGACTAATGCAAAATGTCACCCAGAAGCCTATATAAATTTGATAACGGAAGTTGAAAAAACAATGTTAACTCCATATCGTAGTTGATTTGATAACTTGCGTTTACTTAGGATAGCAGTCTTGGAGTGGTTTTGACTAATTTGATTGAAGGCGGAATTTCTTGTGCTATAAAATATGTAGTCTGATGTGGCTCAGGTCCTCCTAGGACTAAATTTGCATCTATTTTGATATCGCCATTTTGACACTTAACGCTTTCTTTGCTTAAGAATTCTCTTCCAAAACAATTTTTATCGAGGATCAGCGGTAGTGCAAATACAGGCGTGCATGTCATAAAATTAATACTGTGTGTACACTTGTATTGTTCTGGAAGTACAGCGAGGATGACTGGAAGAAACTGGGCACCTCCACTGACTCAGATCCTGAGTTTTGATTTGCCTTTCGCCCTTCAAAATTAACCGATTTTTCCTTCTCCAACCGGTATGGCAGATCATGTCAGCTGTGTTACTGTGGACTTCTTCATAAAAGATGAATTGGATTAGTCCATCGCTCATTCTTACAGGAAGGCTGAAACATTTGCCTTGCCTGGGCAGAGAGCTGAGTTTTGACACAGGCAAAAATCATGTCTGCTATGGATAAAATGTAGTGGCTAAACATACCCTGTTAGATCACGTTAAATATAAATGACTATCCTGGCTTCTAGTGCTGTTTGTCAACTGAGCAAAGCTGGATACCTGTAGTGAAAGGATTCAGTAGTCCGAGAAAGCGTAGCGCTGCCTAAAATGTACAGTTACTTGCGCAACTGGTGGCCTAGAACAAGTCACCTGTCCCTCGAGATGTTTTTACATCGCTTTTGCTGTGCTTCAGGGCTGTAACCATACGTTTATGTCTTAACACGATACCAGACGCATAACATGGAGTACAGAGACAGCATATCCTTTCTTTTTGTTTCCATTGATCTTGTAGCACCACTCGATAACAACGGCTCTTGAGACAATCGCCTCATTTGGCAAAAGTGTAACAATTGTTGGAGTAAATATGTCAACGTAGCGCAGTGTTATTTGGAATGTATGCGCAGTAATCTGTACTGTTAAATTGCAATCTTGACTGCTGTATTAAAATTGATAGCCAAAGGTACTGGGTTTTTTTGAGGGCCTTACAGTACACGCTGACCTGTGGGTGCTGTGTCTTGGTGCACAACCGGCCATTTAGCATCCCAACAGTAGCTCTATAATGAGGATGCCATTCGTATGCACTTCCATTGGTTCTGAGGGGGTTTCTTTTTCACACAGCTGCTTCTAAACAAAAGTCCAGCAGTCATTTGCCAGCAAACAACCAGGATGTACAGGGTTACATCACCAATCAGTCTCCAGAGAGCATTGTAGAAGAGGCTCAGGGCAAGTTGACAGAGCTGGAGCAGAGGATAAAAGAAGCCATAGAGAAGAATGCTCAGCTGCAGTCCCTGGAATTGGCACACGCTGACCAGCTCACCAAAGAGAAGATTGAGGAGCTGAATAAAACGAGAGAGGAACAAATTCAGAAGAAACAAAAGATTTTGGAGGAACTGCAGAAAGTGGAGCGAGAGTTACAGCTGAAAACTCAGCAGCAGCTAAAGAAGCAATATCTAGAGGTAAAAGCGCAAAGAATTCAGCTCCAGCAGCAGCAGCAGCAGCAACAGTCTTGCCAGCATCTGGGACTACTGACTCCTGTTGGGGTAGGAGAACAACTCTCAGAGGGAGACTATGCACGATTACAGCAAGTGGACCCCATCTTGCTTAAAGATGATACTCAGCAAGCTGCTGCGCAGACGGGTTTTGCACCAATTCAGCCTCTGGCGATGCCACAAGCTTTGCCTCTGGCAGCAGGTTCCTTACCTCCAGGGTCCATCGCAAATCTTACAGAACTGCAAGGTGTTATAGTTGGACAGCCAGTATTGGGCCAAGCACAACTAGCAGGGCTGGGGCAAGGAATACTGACAGAAACACAGCAAGGGTTAATGGTAGCCAGCCCTGCTCAGACGCTCAATGACACGCTGGATGACATCATGGCAGGTGGGTTTATATTGTTACGAGCAGGTATAATTTTTGCTTGACCAGTTGAGGGTATGTCCACTTCTTTATGTGTGTGTGTGTTTGTGTATTCCCGCTAGCTCTATGGCAAGTACCGCTAGCCTACCGATCCCTGTCTTGAGGAGTTCAGAGAAGTAGTTTAAACTTTTCAGTTTGCAGGGTTGCCTTTCCTTTTGTTGAGCTAACCGGTGCTTGTTTGTCAGGTTGGTATGTCGGAAGCGGCATTTTTAACTCCTTCGTAGTTTGTGGGGCGGGGTGTGCTAGGGTCTCACAGTTCCATTTTGGCCTGTTTGTAGCTCAGGAACAACGTCTTGACGATACCGGTTGGTGCTTTGGAGTAGCTGACTGAAAACTGACTCTGAGAACTCAGAACAGGGTTTGAGCAAGTATAGCGCCGCAGCAAGCCTGTAATGTTTAAGGAACCTGTAGGCTTGTCTTCTGAATGAGAGCTGCTCTAGGTGGCCTCGAATAGTCTACCTGTTGGAAGCTGTTACTTCTGTTTGGGAAAAACGATGGTAACCCTATGACTTTTAAAAATGTCTACTCCTAAAAAATGGCCCCTTCGCCAGCAAAAAACTGACTTGGCCATACCAAATTCTTCCAAACCGCTTCGGACAATTTGTTACTCGGTGACATCAGTGCTTTAAGCCGTAACGTAAAAGAATGAAACAAGTTTTAAATACCATAGGAAACATGACTTGTTAGTGTTGCTTTCCTTCACACCCGCTTCAGTTGCAGTTAATTCCCCTTCCATGTTGAAGTAGTCGCTGAAATAGTCCTTTTGGCTCCTTGGCTGAATGCAGATTAACTGTTAGGAAATAAAGTCAAGAATGATGTCACTCGATCACAATTTGCTGAGGTGCTCTTGATTCATGTGCTTTTGTTTCTGAAAGTGCTGTCCGTTTTGACGTCTGCTTTGTAAAACATGTTAGGATGAGGGGCGTGTGCCTGAGGAAAGGCAGGTGTCCGAGAAGGTGTTAGCCCAGAGGTGCAGAGGTGTGGAGCTCGTCCTGCCTACGCTGCGAGAGTTATTGGAGTACGATAATGGTGCGGAGTGAACAGAAGATCCGGTAATGGCTAAAAACACCAGGTGGTGATTGCTAGAAATAGTGGGAGCAACGCTTTTAAAATTAGGCACCTAATGAGTAACTGGATGTTCAGGCAAAGCCTCGTTAAAGATAACCGAAACTTATGGGAGCTACAGAGATACTTTTCTGAAAATCTGGTGTTAGCGTTGAAGCCTAGACATACAGATTGGAAGCTGTCAGTGGGTAAAAAACTAACTTAATGCATGAAAAAGTAGATGAAACTACGTCTGTCATGTCTTGATAGTGGAGGTTTCTCTCACGTGGAGCTGCTGTGGTACCTAACAAGACCAGCTACACATTTGAGAGATGGGGTAATTACACTTATCAGTTACTTAGTACACTTAAATTACCTTTAAATCTAACTTGAACTCTGAGTTAGGACATTTATTATGTGTTTAACTGCATGTAGCATCTTGAGAATGTACGATTTTAGGTCATCTGCTGCGTACCGAAATGCTCACGCATACTTTTTTGGAAAGGTCAGGTATTTCCAACGTGCACTTGAGTGACTGTTTTGGTACTATTTAGTCCCCAGGTCTTGGTATGGGTGTGCACACGTACAATTGGGACTGAGGTCTAAATTGTGCTCTGGAAAGCATTTGTAGCAAGTCTGTTAAAAGCCGTACAGATGAAATTCCATCTTTGCTTTTCTGTGAAGTGGCTAATTTGAGGGTGGTTGTTTTTTTTTTTTAAGCGAGAGCAGACGCAGGCTTGAGTATGCAACTTAAGTGTCGGGCTGGGATCCACATATCAGGACTTAGTGTGGAGGTGAAATGGGCTCAGTGTAACACAAAACATTTAAGCAGCCGCTAAATATTTTATCAGTAGCTTTGCATATTGCTTGAATAGGAACACTCTAGAGTATTCCCGTGGATTTACATCTCTTGCTGAGATGAGCTGAGTTGAGTTCGGTAACAGAATTGTGGCTTGCAGTTACAAAAACGCTCCTTGACTGTGCAAACTTAATGTAACGTTCACCTCTGTGCTTAATTAGTTGCAAACAGTGAGTTTCATTTTCCCATTTTAGGGCAAAGTACTTGTTTAGGCCAGTATTTGTTGAAAACAAGGTTGATACCTGTCAGAGGCGAGTGTAAGACATGGATATTGCTGTAGAGGTCAAGTTTTGTTTCCGGATCACTTCTGGGAGGTCAAAGTAGGATTCCTTGCAATTAGAGAAGCTAATTGGTGTTACTGGAGCTCTAGGCAACTTGCCTGGAAACATAGCGAGAGAATTGACCAAGATAAGGGGTTTGGGGCTTTTTTAAAGGAAGAGATAGGGTAACTTGAACAAGTAGTAAATAATTTTTCAGTTAGAACTTTGGCCTCCTTTCTGATCCTACTGGAATTGATGACAAGCAAAAGGTCCACTCTTCATTTTCAGATGTTGGATGGGGTCTTTGCTTGCCGTGAGCCTCATGACCCGCCTAGTGGATGAGGGAAATGCTGTGGATGTTGTCTACCTGGACTTTAGTAAAGCCTTTGACAGCGTCTCCCACAGCACTCTCCTGGAGAAACTGGCGGCTTGTGGCTTGGACGAGTTTACTCTTCACTGGGCGAGGCACTGGCTGGATGGCCGAGCCCAGAGAGTTGTGGTGAATGGAGTTAAATCCGGCTGGCGGCTGATCACAAGCGGTGTTCCCCAGGGCTCAGTTCTGGGGCCGGTCTTGTTCAGTATCTTTATTGATGACCTGGATGAGGGAATCGAGTGCTCCCTCGGTAAGTTTGCAGATGACACCAAGTTGAGGGGGAGTGTTGATCTGTTGGAGGGTAGGAGGACTCTGCAGAGGGATCTGGACAGGCTGGATTGATGGGCAGAGGTCAACTGCAGTTTAATAAGCACTTTAATAAGGCCGAGTGCAGGGTCCTACACTTCGGCCACAACAA